ATTTATATGCCGCCCATCTAGACATGGTCTACTCTGGGCGGCTCACAACATACCAACCTATCCATTCTGAAGGAAATCAACCCTGAGTGCTCACTGGAAGGACAGATCCTGGAGCTGAGGCTCCAATACTTTGGCCGTCTCATGAGAAGACTCCCTGGAAAAGACGCTGATGTTAGGAAAATGTGAAGGCAAGAGGAGAAGGGGACGACAGAGGATGAGATGATTGGACTGTGTCATCAGTGTCTGATCAAACATTATTATTTTGTGGACTGAGGTAATCCACTGGTGGCAGTGAAAGGAAAAAACGACTGGAGCCTTTGTGAGGGCAGAAAATGTAGGTTCCTCACATGAGGCTCCAATGCTTTGGCCATCTCATGAGAAGAGTAGACTCCCTGGAAAAGACCCTGATATTGGGAAAGTGTGAGGGCAAGAGGAGAAGGGGACGACAGAGGATGAGATGGTTGGACAGTGTCATCGAAACTACCAAGATGAATTTGAGCCAACTCCGGGAGGCGGTGGAAGATAGGAGGGCCTGGCGTGCTCTGGTCCATGGGGTCACGAAGAGTCGGACACAACTTAACGACTAAACAACAACAAAACCAGGAATGGAGACTCAAGTCACAGGACTCGCTGTCAGGTTGGCAGCTTGACTTGGAATTACTCTGTTTTTTCCTCCACCCAATGTCTTTAATTCGACTCACGACTCAAAACCCACCCATACCTCCCTTTTTTCTGGGAAAAAAGTTTGTTTCTAATAGGGATTCAGTCTTGGGACTTGATACTGTGTTCCAAAACCTCAGATTCGGGCTTAGGACTTGGACCCAAAGACTTGCCGGCATCCCTGTAACATATTGGCTCTGACAAAGAAAGTGGAGATAAATGAATTTGTACTGTTGACATAGAATAGAAGAATGATAATTCAAAGGTAGAACTCAGAATACATTTTGTAAATAGTGTATGGGGATTGCTGAGGGAATATTGTGGGGTGCTTCTTAAATCTATTTCGAGGGAGAGTATCTCATCAGAAAGCAGAAGAAGTAGTAATCTGCTGTGGCAGACAAGAAAATTGTGGAACTACAAGGACTACCTGGGAAAGAAAGCAGTTAAGAGTTTCTGGAGGTGAACAAGGTTCAGAAGAATCTTAAATTTCTGAAACAGAACTATAAAAAGAATGGAACAATAAATAAGTTCTTAGCCAGGAGGATAGTTTGGAAATCAGTTATAGGCATCGTCGCAGTAGAAACAACCTCAATAATCGGATGAGTAAAAGAAATCAAATATACTTTCTAATTATTACTCAAAAACTGTATGAGAATCCTCTACCTAGTAGAGCTCTTGAATGTATTTTGTTATTACAGTATTTTTATTGTTTTGTATTGCAAAGCACAAAGCATTTCTAAGTAATGAAGTTACTAGCAGACAAGTGTTCTAGGTTTGAAGTATAGTAAGTAGTTAATAAGAGACAGACTCCCAGTGGAATTATTTTAAGTTCAGTATATAGTTTTCTTGTCTTCCTTTTCTTTATGTTTCATCTTTTGGGGGAGAGATGGGGAAAAGAAGTTTGTATACTACCCATGCTTCTCTTCAGTACTGTATCTGAACATTCTAAAATAAAGCCAGTAAACCACCAACCCCTTGTTATGTTTGCTTTTTGAAAGAGGTCCAGAGCTTTCATTTCAATAAAATAGCTTTTTAATAAAATAGCTGAGGATGCTCTTTAATCTCTCTTTTAATAAAATAGCTGAGGATGCTCTTTAATCTCTCTAGATTGAGAGCAAAGACCAAAGTCCAACTGAAATGCATGCGGGACTTTTATACAGAATGCAGAGGAGAGGATGAGTGACACCTTTATAAAGCCACTATGAAATCCCATAAAAGCACTCACTTTCAACCCATATAGGTCTTCCTCAGGCTGTGCACCACTGTGGTTTGAATCGTCCAGAAAAAAAAACAACCATGAAAAGTTCCAGATGCTCATGCCATGTCCCTTAGCTAAACTGAATTACAGTGGTGCCTCGCAAGACAATGTTAATCCGTTCCATAGAAATCGCCGTCTTGCGAAAACATCGTCTTGCGAAACCAGATTTCCCATAGGAATGCATCGAAAATTAATTAATGCATTCCTTGGGGAAATTTTTTTTTAAAAAAAGGAACTTAAGGGTTAGGGAGCTGGGGAAGCACCATGGGAGGAATGGCGGGGGGGGGGGGCGCCCCG